AAAAAAAAAAAAAAAAATAGAAATTCAGTTAGTTAACAATACCTACTAATTTTTCATATTACAAGCCATCTTATACCTTCGAAACTCCTAGGCAAATGAGGTTGAAGAACTAAGGAGAAAACTAGCTGAAGTAACCGAGTCAAAGGAGGAGCTGGAGGTACGCAACAAGAAACTAGCGGAAGAGAGCTCGTATGCAAAGGGATTGGCATCGGCTGCAGCAGTCGAGCTGAAGGCCCTCTCTGAAGAAGTCGCAAAGCTGATGAATCAGAACGAGAGATTATCTGCTGAGCTCGAAGCTTTGAAAAAGCCGCCAGCTCAGCGACGAGCCTCCATTCCCACCAGGAACGGAAGGAAAGACAGTTATAGCTCCAAGAAATACGAGACGGGTGGTTTAGCCTCGGATATCAAGAAAGAATTGGCAATGAGTCGTGAGAGAGAGCATTCGTATGAAGCTGCACTTGCCGAGAAGGAACAGACTGAAGCCGAGTTGCAGAGGAAAGTCGAAGAATCGAAACAGAGAGAGGCTTGCCTTGAGAATGAACTGGCAAACATGTGGATTCTTGTGGCTAAGCTTAAAAAGTCCCAAGGAGTTGAAAATGATGAGTTAACAAGGGAAAATTATGAAGACTGATAAATTTTGAGATTCGGATGAGGGGACGTCGGTTATTAACTTTGTGTGCCTGGTTTTGGGGGAGGGTTTTCCTGTTGTATTGGTAGTGGCTTTTTGTTTTGGCTAATTTCTTAGTTCCGTATGCTGAGAGGTGGTATATATGAATGCGTAGCAATAGTTGTTTCTTTGGACTTGATACTCTGTGTTTGTTTGTGAAGTGGTAATTGCTTTGGATTTTAAGTTGGTTTTGCCGTGCACTCGAGCTTTTGTGGTGATGAATGATGTTATGTACGTACACGCTGATGGCTATTGGGAGTTTGAACGTACTAAAGTTTGTAAATACTAAATACAACATAACAGTATTTATGTATTCTGGAATATTGTTTTGATAAGGCAACTTTTATTGGGCATCAATACGCTTGGAGACGAGTGGTATCCAAAAGACAAACACTAGTTTGAAGATATCAAACGCATATACTGTGTGCATTTAAAGCAAATCACTTACATAAATGTCATGTTAGCTCAACAAATGACGTTTAGCATTTGAAATCATGTTGACTTTTGTTCTAAATATGTGCTTATTAATTAATTTTGGTATTCTTTTTTTTTTTTTTNNNNTTTGGTACAAATGAAGGAGGTCGTAGCCTAGCACCTCTAGATAGTCGTGTTCCGTGGATACGCAACGCCAAAGACGCCATGCGTCACCATTTTAAGGTTATATAATAATAATACAAATATGTAGTGTACATATATAATAATGGTAGTTGGTGGATCATAGATTTTCACGCCAACAAATTCATTGGTTAGGTCACGGTGAACCTGAATATGGTTGGTAATTTAATTGAAATAAGTATGTACAGTCGATGGTTGACAATGAATTTAAAATATAAATATAGTCGTGTGTAGCTTAAGGTCAAAAAAAGAGTAATCAACCACTAGTAATAAAAAAGAAAACGCTTGTCATCTATAATTTGATTCCCCATAATTAAATTGTTGAGTGCTCTGCCAAAGGATATCAAAACGGGATCATGCATGTTTTTCTACAAGTTTAGGACATGCAAAATTGGGAATTCAAATGTGGCCAACACGTACGGTATTGTTCAAACTTGCCAGCCACATTATAATTTTCACTTTATATATCAAATTCAAAAGTTGGGCCGTGGTTACCCTCGCTGCAGAGGGTTCGGTGGGATAGCAGTATTTTACTGTGCCTCCTGTTGGGGTTCGGCCGTAGTCACACCATGATGTGATTGGTGTGTCCTTCTCGCGTAACGTGGGTGATTTAAACTTATAAGCATTGGCCTCTTCCTTTGTTTACAAAAAAAAATAAATTCAAAAGTTGGGTAAACCTTATATAAGTTTTGTATTAACTCTTAATTAAGATGCATAAAACCAACCTACAGTTGGCCAAAACCATCACAAAAACCTAAAATCCCACAACAAAAATTACAAACATCTCATTCCATCAACAAAATCAATTTCTTTGAGATAACAAGTTCACATTTCTTGAATTTTATCTTCAACACAAACTACAAATATTTATATTAAAATAACAAGCACACTTTATTTAATTAACCAATCCTCCATTACATGCTGGCAGTTACAACTTTAGAAATTCTATCACCACCTAAAAACTTCAACAACAATGTCTACTACAGCTTGAGAGTCAAATCCACCTTCTTCTCCAAATCCAATCCAAACCCATCGACACGAATCTCCACGCGCCCATTTCCCTTCACACCGAGACAGTCGACAAGGCTGAGCTCCTTCAGCACCACCACACTCGGGTTTTCGTCCTCTGTTTTCAGAGGCTGGCAAAAATAGTTTTTATTATTAGGAACTGCAGAAAGAGGCTTTGGTGGGCCGCCTGTCGAGTGGGCTTCCTTCATGGCCTTGATGTAGGCCCGTTTGCGGTAGGCAATGGGGTCCCTTACGTAGAGGCGCCTCTCCTCCATGCGCTCGTGCTTGTGGGCATTTTGGTGGCCGCCCATTGCCTGAGCCGAGGGGAACTTCTTGAAGCAAAACGAGCAAGTGAATTCCCATGCCTCGACAATTTTTGTCAGCCTTGTCATCTCCTTTCTTTCGGCAAACAGGCTAAGCTTCTCGTTCGTGTCCTGTATCTCCCAAAAGTCGCAAACTTTACGTTTTCTTGCCATGCGGACAGATTTTTTTTTCCTTTTTTTTTTCTTTTTTTGGTTCCTTTTTTTGTAATGAAGTGCTTTCGATGAAACTGAAGAAGTTGTAGAGAAAGAACAAAAGAGAAGAGAATACAAAATGAGGTAGTTGAGAAGAAGGCAGAATGAAGGGCTAATTTTTATAGCTGAAAAAAAAGGGAAGAAAATCGAAGTTTTCTTAATAGCTAAATGCCGCCATGACGAAATCCGGTTCTCCATTACAGTAATGTGTTTTATGGGGAAATCTTGTTTTTTTTTTCTTCTTCCCTTCATTTATTCGATACATTACCTTTTGATTTCTTTCCCGAGAAGAAAAAGGAGCGAAAATTGCTTATGGAGGATTACGGAAATTTCTCTTTAATGAATGGAGACGAGGTTTAAATATTGCGAAAATCCGCATGCAGGTGAAGGTTTTGCAAAATCGACGCGTGGGATTGAGGATGAATTATCGTCCGTCGATATTTTTTCTGGTAGGTGATCGTGTGGCCTTGCGAGCAGAACATCTGTAAGGTTGGTGGGTGTACTAAAAGTTTAAGCTTTGTGCAAAATTATGGAGTGAATCCAAACTGTAGATAGATTTAGAGTTGCAGTCACTGCCCACTTTCAGTTATGTCAAATGTTCATTTCTGGCCATGGCAAAATTGCTTATAGATCATATTAAATGTTTGGGGTCTTTCAGGATCTGCTTTTAGGGATCAAGTTAATCACATTTTGCAAACAAGATTAAGTTTCATTTTGTTTTAATCAAATGTCATCTTAAGTTTTTACGGGCACGGATTAATATGTTCACCAATTGATGTGACAAAAGATTAGCATATCATACACATGAGGCACGTTAAGATGTGTCTACGGTGAGTATATGAACATTTTTTTGTAGTTTTTCTATTAGTTGATTCTTTCATGATTTTAATGTTTGGACAATATCTACATATAAAACTTGTTGTCATATTCTGAATTTTTTTTTTTTTTAATAGATTTGGAGCTTTTTTGTTTTTTTTTGGAATTCAGTGAATAGTCTTAACCAATACTTGTTAGATTTTCTTAGCCTAATATAATGACTAATATAATGACTACAGCAATTTGAGATCACAAAATTTAAGAAATGCCCCTAACTATTTGATTTACAAGTTAAAATCTGAATTGCAATATAAAATCTGGTAGATCAGTTGGTCCAATTTGGCTAGGCTTTTCAGTTGTATCTTTTTAATATATATAAATATACAAACGTAAATATAAATTTGCTACGAAAAGGTTAAAAATAATTAAATGTGGTTTTCTGTAAAATATTATTATATTTTACTGTGAAACTATGTTTTCTCCTTTAATTTGTTCCCTTATTATTTCTTTATACGGCCTACTGAAAATTGAAAAAAGTAGAAATTTATGGTTACTTCAATATAAGCCACCAGAAACCAGGGCAAAAAGATTTCACATATTTTCAAACTTGTTTTCACATTTATCATTTGATCTGCATCGTAAAATTATATTTTTATTTGCAGCTATCAACATCTGACTTACTCTTAGGCAAAATGGTGAAGTATGAAATTATTCTAATTCAAATAATGCCCATACTATTTCATGTGTTGTGCTCTGTTCCTAATGTATCAACATATATATGTTGTGCTCCACTGCCGATGTGTCGACTTATAGTTCTTCAGTCGATATGCAGCTCAACACAAAGTAAGCAGTAACACAAAAGCAAAAACAAGCACAAAGCAGAGGTGGGTACACGAATAATCTCAGTTTTTCATCTGAAACACCTCTGTTTCATGATATATATACTCACGAGTTGATATATACTAACTAAATCTAAAACTATGACATTATATTTACAGGTGATATAATCAACGGACGGACCAAGAAGCAATAAACAGCACTGCCAATTCCAATATTCGTCAACTCTAACAACCCCAGTCCTTTTAAATATCAGTAGAGTGTCTGCAATAACAAAACCGAGAAAAATTCCCATATATGGACGACCTCTTTTAAAAATTCAACAACGAATTGGCCCCTAAGTGAAAAATCCGAAAGACAACCCAATCAATAACAAAACTGGAGTGAACTGAATCAGAAGTCGATGTACAATTACAGCAATTGGGTTGAAGGGCTTAATAACTCAAAATTTAAGCAGTGACCATACAATCTGTTTTTTAAGAAGCTTCATAACAAATCTAACTCTGAGACTGTTTGCATTTTACAGTAAAAGTCTCGTAATGCCAGCTATCATAGAAACAGTCGGATAATTTATGAGCTAAGAAAGCAACTAAATTTAGACCTAGAAGCAAATCTCATAAATGAAAATTTCGTTCAACAATATATCTACTTGCATACCTTATAGCTTAAGCCATGCTCATGGGGGAAACAAGCTACATAGTGATTGTAGTTCAAGGAAAACAGTAAAGATCCTCTCTTTTTCGTATCATTTTCGGCTAATAATATAGCATCAAGCATAGAAAAGTAACAAATTTGAACAAGTAATCAATCAATTATCCAGAAAATTCATGGAGCAGGTGTCTTGAAAGGAAGCTTTAGTAAAACAAAAATCATCGAGTAAAATTACAGCTTATTAATATCCCAACAACTAAAAGAAAGTAAAAGTAAACATTGTCACAAACATTTAGTCATGAATGAACTCAAAATATGGAAGAAACGAAGCAAGAAAAAACCACCGATACCGAAAACCAGCTGAAACAACATCACTTTTA